AAAGCATCGGTAAACGATAATATAGTTTTTTTTTTTGATAATGAGATATTCTACATAGATGAAATTTTGTTGATAAGACGTGACTAGAATTTTTCTTGGGTTTAGTTGATGGGTTTTGGGTTTAGAAATTTTTGGGCTATAATTGGGGAAAGACCCAAATAGGTAGAGAGAATTTAATATATTGGATCAGTTTTCGTCTACCAATACAAAAATCGATTCAAACCAATTAAAATTTACGGGTTTTTTTCGATTTTCTGTTTTTCGGTTCAGTTAGCGCGGTTTGAATCGGTTTGGATTGGTTGATGAACACTCCCACTGTTGGATTAGTTTGAAATCATGATTATCGTTAGATTAATTTAAGATCAACGGTAATGATAACCAAATAGATAATAAGAATACTAAACTTAAAATGATAATAAGAATAAGCTTCAGAATCATTTTTTATAAGAAATTGCACAAGGCTATAAAATTCATTTTCAAATAAATGGAGGAGGAATAACAAAAGTATAACCTAATATCATGGCATTTAACTGATGAATAGTGTTTAGGGATCATACCTGCTGAAATCCTTAATCAAGTATCCCTTTTTCCTATCACAAGAATCTTCATGAGTAGCTTCTTTCATTTCCTTGTGTGCAACATTCTTCTCAAGCATTATTAGACACAATTTTCTCTCTAATTATGTAAATTTTGTGTATTCTTCTTCCTTTGAATTTTTTCTTTTGTTTCTCTTCAAAGATTTTTTTTTTTATCTGTGAAAAAATTTCTCCTCCTTTTCTCTCAAAACAATTTCTTCTTTTCTTTTCAAAATCCCCAAGAAGTGTTCCCCCACTTTGTTTTCACCAATACTTCATTTTAAGGGTAGAAGAGTTGAAGTCTCCAACCTAGTCAACAAAAGGAGGACAAGAGCATAATTCATTGCCTTCAAATTTTCTCTTTTTGTTAGTTACCTTTTGCTATTTCATTTTCACTGTTTCTGGTCTTGTTCTGATGCATACTGACTATCCATTTTTGCTTCGTGTCTAATTGCTTGCAATTTGACATAGTAAAGCAAAGCATGAGTCATTTTCATTTTGTAACATCCCGTTCTAGAACCGGTTTGTTAACATCGCATTATGATATTAAGCGCAGTTACAATCACATTGGCTCAATTAAAAATCCGGATAAATTTTTCTTTTTAAAACGATGCCGAATTTAAAATATCCAATTGCGTGATCATAACCATATTACCTTGCGGAATCAGATAAACCAAGCTTAACATCATGTCATTATTCCATTTTTAAACCATTAATTTACTTCTTGTTTACTTCACAACTTCTACTATACTTTAGATCTCTTCGTTAGCTACGCGTGGGTTCAAACTGCGCTCAAATCGGAGCACTGTATCCCAAGTTATGGGTTTTCTACGAAACGAGCGCGTGAATCCTGCTGATCCCGGCGCAACCGGCGCCAGCTGTGGCGCGGCGGGCGCCAACGAAACAGAAGCTCCCCATCGAAATGGCGCTGGAGGCGCCAAGGTTGGCGCCAGGTGCGCCAGCTGGTGATCCCGGCGCGATTTGCGCCAACTCCGGCGCGATTTGCGCCACGAAACAGAAGCTTTCGAGCAAAATGGCGTGATGTGCGCCAATTTTGGCGCCAGGTGCGCCAAAGCTTTGAAGGTTTCACCAATTCTTAGTATTTTACCTCTAACTAGAGTTATACATGTCCAATTCACACAATATTGGTCTCTATGGAAAGCTAAGAAAAATATCTACAACTTCCATACATACACCACCGTCCCAACCTATCATATAAATTCCTCTTCATAAATGGTTCTTAGTTCTTGCATAATACAAACACATCTAAAGGGACATGCATGCCCTTTTCCTCATGGCTTGTACTAAAATTTGGGCAGCATAACCCTTGTTTTCTCAACAATTCCCAATTTAGAACTAGGTACCTAATATGATTTCTTAGCCCAACCAATTCAATAACTCAATACATAAAAGCATGCATATATTGAATTTCAAGTAGACATCATTTACATTACATATTCTTTACAAATCGTAGAACTTAGCTTACAAAACACTATGATCATTCCCTTGGCTCCCATCAACAAAAGGTGTAACCAAAGGCATGAGCATAGGCTAAGTTCATCCAATGAATCAAGATATACAAATGACCATGGGCTTTCAAAATAAAATCTTATACATGTCAACTACAAAAGGCATGCATAAACTCAAAGAAATGCCATATTTCATGCATAATCCAGATATGGCCACTTGCCACCAGAGGCTCCTGCAGCATCCTTACCTGAAAGGGGGGTCCCCACAACACGGGGTGAGATATACGAATATATCCAGTAAACCAGGGGTCCTTGGAGCATCTCTCCACCCCACAGTTCCATATCAGTGTAATAGCAATAACAATAATAATGCAGTAAATACATATCTATGCAAAGTGCACTACATCTCCAGGAGAAATCCCTCGAGCTCTCAAGCTGTCCTAAGGAAACTCAGATGCAAATAGTCCTACTGGCCAGCTAACTACCAAGTATGATTTACGCATCGTCATGCAACATACCACATAGGGAAACACCATCATATGCCACACCAAATGCATACACATTCGTATAACAAAGCATTACACTATTTTATTGCATTTATATACACAATCACAACCTCTACCCTTTCAGGGCTTGGTAGAACAGTCAAGGGAATTACACCCAAGGTCCGAAGGCTTACCTCAATGCTTCAGTCGACCTTTGTTCTTCACCAATGTCAACAATACTCTACTCCAAAACCAACACCTACACATGGTGTAATGCAATCAACACATTGCATCCAAGAGTATTTCACAATCAACCATCAATTACTCAATTCGAAACACAACACAAGTATGTGCTTACCAATTCCAATGAGCTATTCAAGCTCCATAGCTTGCTCCAATGGTTGATCACTCACGGTTGGTCCAAATGTCTCAATCCTAGACATCACAAGGATCCAATCAATCATTCAACTCACTAATTGTTCAACATGCTAGAATACTAACCAATCCAAGCATGAATTTTCCAATATTATGAACAATTATCAAATGACTATCTAGGCGCATTTCCACCGATTAAATGTCGTTCCTAGCATTTTTCACAACATGCTCTAAACTCCATTCTTCCTAGAACATAGCTAATTCAACTACATTTCATAAAAATCCCAATTTACTATTCACAAACCCTAACTCATGCAAATTTCAAGGAATCATGAGGCTCAAGGGTTAGAATCTTACCACCAATGGTCACACAACCAAGCAAGGAGTGTTCCTCAAGCTCCCATGGAGGTTGAACTTCCCAAAACCCCAAAATCACCCAAATGGTCGAATTTTTGAGGGTCAAAATCTCTCTCCACAAAGCTCCCCACTAAGAACTAAGCAAGGATTATGAACGAGGGAAAGATTTGGAGTGGTTTAGGCTTTGGAATGAGTTGATTTGGACACCAAATGAGAAAGCTAGGTTTTTGGCTCACCTATGTCTTCCTCACTCTCTCTGTCGCTGAACCACGGGAAGAAGAAGGAAAATGAAATGGTTTTTTGTGTTTTGGTCACTTAACTCAACTTAAGTGGTCTTAAGCGGGTATTGGTTCGTCTATCTATTCAACTCCAATAATTACCAAACTTTACCCAAAAGTCTGGAATATTATTCTAGGAATATTACTATTTTTATTTTTATATTTTGGGTACTTTTGCCAGTATCCATTTATACCCCTTAATTTTCACTGAGTACACTTTTTAACTCCAAAGTGACTCAAATTCATTTAATTAAGCCTTATACTTAATTTCACTCACTAAAACATATTTAATTAATTAATTACACTAGATTTACTAATTAATTAAGTTGGGCTATTATAGATTTCTTCTTTTGATGAAGCTTTCTTTTTGTCCCTCTCTGTGACCTGTCCATGTTTTATTTATATTTGTCTAAAGTTTCCTTTTTTTTCTTTTTTCTTTTTTGGGGATAGAAACCTGTTAACTGAAAAGAAAAAGGTGAACACAAGTTGGTGTTCACACATTATAGCCCAATTTTCTCCATCATCCTTGAACAATTTCTCATTGACAACTAAAGATGTGGACCCTTAGTTGACCAGCAAGTCATCTGCATCTTGCTTTCCCTTTTGATCTCCAACTTCCCCATACCCCCAAAAAAAAAAAACAACTAGCAATCATAACATCCCATTTCTGCTTTGGGTGTGTGAGGGTAGTTATAGAACAACATTTTAGTAACAAATCTAACTTCTTTCCATTTCTATTCATTTGGAAGATCATTTGGAGGGGGCAAGTAATCCAACAATTCCTGAGTTTCAATAGTACGTTGTCTTTTTTCTTCTTCTTTTAACAGCTTTCTTGGGATTCCATGCTTTACTTTAGTTAATAAACATGTTCTTGACCAATGAATATATCGTTATGCTGCTCATGTTTTGTTAACTACTCTTAGAACCTAGAAACATCTTATATGTGATGTTTTACAATTAATACTTAACTGTGATAATTCTTTGTACAAATCATATTTTTCATCTTATATCTAATTTCTTTATGTTCTTTACCAGAGTTGTTCCTCTTTCAGTTATATTTGTTTTAAGTAGCTCACCGCAACTGACTAATTGCCTATAGTCATTGATTTCTGGTTTCATGATAGATGCTCTCCTCAGCCAAGAAAGCATACCCGAAATACTAGTTAGTAATTACAATTTAATAATAATAATATGTATGCCACCAATGTTAGAGAATAGTATAAACCATTAAAAAGTCTTTACCCACCAACTTAAGCTTTTGGGTTGAATTGTTCTTTACATGGTATCAAAGCCTCGTGTCCCGAGTTCGATCCTCACCGCTCCAACTTTCTCTTGTGGAATTTTTTGTAGGTGGGCCTGTCCATTGTCCACTCTGCCTGTGCATTTTTCACCCTTCAAACCCAGTGGACTCTCGTGTGAGGGGGCATGTTAGATAATAGTATAAACCATTAAAAAGCCTTCATCCACCAATTTAAACTTTTGGGTTGAATTGATTCTTTACAATCAAAGCATAGGAATGCTTGATTGAAAAAATATTCAATAATATTTGCACTTCTCTCACAGTTTAAGCCTTATGAGGTTGGGGTGTGATCTCTTGCAACACTGCTTCACTAGCTCTTCTTCTGATACATTTCCAAAGGATGAAAAGTTGAAGTGGCAAATCTTCCACTATAACGAACTTGCCAAAGCCACAAACAATTTTGATCGATGTAATTGTCGTGGATGGGGAGACTTGGACACAGTATATTATGGTAAGAGACTTTAATATAAGAAATGTGATTGATTAGATTTAATTTCTTTTGATGGTATACTCTTCTTTTAGGCAAACTTGACAATGGATTAGAGATTGCAATTCAACGCTTTCATGAAGAAAAGCGCCAAACATTTCAACAGTTCATCAATGAAAATATGATCCTAAATTACTTGCCCCACAAAAATCTTGTGACGATTTATGGGCGCACCTCTGATGAGGAATCCATGCTAGTACATGAATACCTCTCCAATGGCACTCTTGCTGGTCATCTTCAATGTGAAATTGCAGAAAGCAGCACGTTACCTTGGCTTACCCGATTGGATATTGCCATTGATACTGCAAAAGCATTGGTCTATCTTCACTCTCATGGCATCATCCACTCTGATATAACTTCAAGCAATATTCTCCTAGATAAGAACTTTTGTGCTAAAATTTCTAACTTTCTATTATCAAGGAAACATCCAGAGGGAGTTTCTGCCAATGCTACTACACATGTTGCAAGTGATATAATAGGAACATGTGGTTATATAGATCCGGAGTATCAGCAACATGGCTGTCTTAGCGTACAAAATGATGTGTATAGTTTTGGGGTGGTGTTGATTGAACTTATATCATCAAAGCTTGTTAATTATTGGGAAGGGAGTGACGATGATAGCTTTGCTACTATTGTAAGCAGAAAAATCCAAAACCAATCATTGGAGGAGCTAGTGGATCCAAGACTTGGCTTCCAATCAGACCATATCATCAAGAAGACAATAATTGCTGTAGCAGAGCTTGCAACTCGTTGCTTGCAATGTCCACTAGAGCTAAGGCCATACATGGTACAGGTGCTAGGAACTCTCCAGTCTGTAAGACCTAAGAAAGATAAAGAAAAACCAAAAAAAGGTGTAAGACCATCTTTTCACCCCTTTCCCACTCTCAACGCTTTCTACTTTCTCTGTTGCTTTTGATGTTAAGGCTTGTGTTGATGATGATATTGTAGATTCCATTGAAGACTTGACATTGAATAAAAAGGGTGATAGCACTAAGAAAAAAACAAGCAATGACACTGATCAAAGTAAGCAATCAAGTGAGCAACAAGATATTCCTAATGTTAATATTAGTAGGTTTTATTTATGTCTTGTTATAATGGCATCTATCTCAGGTTTCAAATTCTTCAACCTTGCTGAACTTAAAGAAGCCACTGGCGGTTTTAACACTAGTCTTGGAGAGGGTGGGTATGGCACTGTATATTATGGTAAAAAGCTGAAACATCTTTCCTTAGGTCCTCTATTTTGTATAAATTGGAATTAGTACACTTTTTTTTTAAAGATTATATCACGTCTAGAATGTTAATCCCAACAATTTCAACATATATTTCTTCTTATGACATGCTCTTGTGTTTAGGAAAACTTAGAGATGGGCGTAAGGTTGCAGTTAAACGTTTCCATGAAAAGAGTGACAAGACCGTGAAGCAATTCATGAATGAAATTAACATGCTAAGTCTCTTGCAGCATCAAAACCTCGTTTCATTCTATGGATGCACTCATCTAGACAGCAATGAATACCTGCTAGTGTACGAGTATGTCTCAGGTGGCACTCTTTCTAAGCATCTTGATGCAATTTCTGGCAGCAAACTAGCATGGCATACCAGATTGAATATTGCCATTGAGACTGCAACTTCATTGGTATTTCTTCACAATTCAGGTATCATCCACCGTGATGTAAAAGCAAGCAACATTCTGTTGGAAGAGAGTTTTAGAGTTAAAGTGGCAGATTTTGGACTCTCAAGATATTTTCCAGATTTTGTTACTCATGTTTCAACTGTTCCAGTAGGAACTCATGCTTACATAGATCCAGATTATTATCAATCTGGCAGAGTTAGTGACAAAAGTGATGTCTATAGCTTTGGGGTGGTCTTGTTTCAGCTTATATCATCCAAATGCCCAAGTGTCAAGGAGGGAAACGAGTTTGTCACTCTTGCTCACTTTGCAATGAATAAAATCATAAACAAGGCATTGGAGGAGCTCGTGGATCCAAGTCTTGGGTTTGATTCAGACAAAAACATAATGGAAATGATAACAGCTGTGGCAGAGTTAGCATTTCAGTGCGTGCAGTGTCCCAAGGAACTAAGACCATCTATGAAACAGGTGCTAGAGATCCTCAAGGGCATAAGGAAGGGAACATGGGGATTCAACCAGATAACATAGTCTTAATTTCTAGCCAGCAATGCAGGCTCCTGAGGCCATGTATCAAACCATTCATTGTTATTTTGTATGTTATTAGAGTATATGAATCTGAGTGTGAAAAGTAAAAGTCCTTATCAATTATATTGACAATCTCCCATTTGTGTATATGAAATTCTATTGCTCTCATCTGTACATGAAATACAGTTTTATTTATCATAAAACTTTTGATCCATCCAAGTGTGAATTGATTAAAGACTAATGCAGCATTATGAGGATGTGTGCTCTAAGGTGTCATCTATCGTTGGACATTCTTAATTAGTGAATTCAGAACTTCGTATAGTTGAAATTGTGTACCTGAAGATCAATAGTCCAATAGATCATATTATTGTAGATGCTGCACGTGGGGAACTCTGTTTGGTCATCCATTTTCTTTTCTTTTTTTTAGTAAATTCTCTCATGCCATTATTGTACTAAAGAATTTGAATATTTAAGAATCAATGTACTAAAAAACTTCCTGTATAGAGTATGCAAATAATTCTTGCTGCACCACTATGAATATGATCCCGCCAAATGATGAAAAAAATATGGCAGAGAAACACAGCAAAACCAAACGAACTGGTGTAAAATCAGTAAAACTAGTAAAAACCCGTGGCTATAATAATTTTTTTTATAATGAAGGCCAAAACTACACCACACAAAATAATGGTTTTCAAATTTAAGTATGAGTGATAAAATGTCTTGCATATGGGAAAGAATGAGTTAAACATAATACATACAAATAAAAGGACCTATAAATTCATAATCTTAAAGTTTTGAATTGAGATGTGATTAAATATAAATGACATGACTTAGTTTTTCCTCCCATCTAAGTTTGGGCTATTATTGCATTACTTGTTAGTTAAAGTTTTTTTTTTTTTAGTAAAAGTGAAAACCTAATAGGATAAGCTTGGGCTATTGTCACTTTTTTGTTTTTGGTAAACTGGGCTATTATCACTTTACTTGTTTGATAATGGTTTTATTTTATTTTCTTTTTCAAAAGAAGAAAAAGAAATAAAGAGTTATTGAATTGGACTACCTCTATGGAGCTAGAACTTTTATTTGGATAATGTCATGTTTTTTTTTTTCGTTAACAATGTCATTATCTTTTTCTTTTTTTTTTGCTAGGCCATATTTATAATGACCCTCACCGGTAAATCTTTATTATAGAGATTTAATTTGAGTATTTAGATGCCAAATGTGTTTAGAATGTGATTTTGTATAGTCTGGCACATTTTACGAAAATCTCGTGGATATTGATTTTACCGGATATTTTGTACTGCTGTTTAAACAACCGGTAGAGTCCATAAATGAATAAATGATGTGATAAGTATATGGAGTCCAATATATGCCAAACAAGTCATGTTTAGACCAAAGATGATAAATTTAGAAGTCTTACGGTTTTGCGTGCAAACAATGCACATTAGTGATTCACAGTTCGTTTCAATAAAAATGGTGCAAAAACCAAATTCTGAATTGCTAATATTGTTCCTTAAGGAATAAAAGTTAATGTAAATAAGCTTAGAAAGATGAAATTAAATTGTGATTTGATGAATTTTGGTCGTTCCCGGAACGGGAACGACGTTCGGTAAGTGTTCCCATGGAGGGAACAACATTCAGTAGAATGTTCCCGTGGTGGGAACGATGTTCAGTAAGTTGTACCTAAAGGGGAACGACGTTCCCATGGTGGGAACGTCATTCCTTGGTTGGGAACGCCACAAAGTTATTTTTAGGTGAAATGGGTGAATAGTCATTTAATGAGTTGTTGACTTTAGTTAAATAAGCGTAAGTGAATAAAACATGTACAGTAGGTCACTAAGAATATAAGACACCATCAACCATCTTCCTTATCATTTTTGTGGAAGCCATTGGAGGAAGAGAGAAAAACTTGAGAAAATCATAACTTGAGCTACACTTGTCGGAATCGAGTCGTTCCAAAGCCAAACCTTCTTAGAATTTTGAGAGGAACACAGCCAACCCTTATTTTCGTGTGGGAAGCATTGTCAAGAGAGATCGCTGCCCTCAAAGCTACGAAAATATTCTTGAATTTTTGGGATTTTGAGTGCTTTGGAGTTTATGGAAGCTTGAAGAATGTTCCTCTTTACATTCTTGGGTGTTTAGTGGTAAGTATATCCAACTCTTTTCAAGTTTTCATGAAGAAATGAGAATGCTAGGTTTTGGATGAATAGTAACAACGTGGATATTGACTTTTGATGGAAAAGTAATGGTTGTTTGGTATTGTTTCATGTTATAGAGTTGTTCCTTGTGACACTATGGTGGAGGAACACCCATTGGAAGCAACATTTGCTCAAGATAAAGATTCTTGAAATTTTACCAAAGAGGGGTACGTTGTGTTTTATAAGGATATGAGAAATTTTAGCTAATAGCTTAATGTTCCCTGTGTTGTATGAATTTTTGATCACCTTTATACATTTGCTATAAGTTGATCTTATGTGAAAGTTAGTGATTGTGCTTGTAACACCCCGTATATATCCGGTAATGTTATCACTATCGTATTAAGTTGCGCTTAATTAAAAATGCAGAATATCTTTTTCTTTTCAATTATGATGTCATTAATCATTACCAACTTGCTTATTAATCAATTAATAAAACATCGCCTGTATGCAATTGCAATAAAACAGCTAACTGAAATACCTCATCAATTAAATAACATAATGTATGTCTCTAGTCGCGGAACTACAACACGTAGACCGGACCACTAGCAGTTTATACAACTCGACTCAAAAGTACTAGCAACATAGTGGCATGGACAACTCCCATGCTCACCCAAATAAGGCAACAAAGCCCAACATAAGTCTCAACTCAAAACATAAAGAGCAGAAAACATAAACAGCATCCAATCCAGTCATGTCAGAAATATAGCATAAATATCATAATCAGCTAAGCTCTGGTCTCCTGCCGCCAGAGGCATCAGTCACCATACTACCTGAACCTGAAATAAGCATTCTCCAAACGTGGGGTGAGATCTCTAAACAAGAAATCTCAGTAAAGCAAGGGGTCCTCAAGGATCTTCCACCCCAAGCTCACTTACATGTGCAATATAAGTTTAAAAGCAGTTCATCAATATCATTTCTAAAAAACAGTGCAATGCAGCAGATAATCATGTCATGTGTGTCAATTCTATTCTACTAGCCAGAGAAATACAATATTTATATACGTCTAATACCCACAAATAGTGCAAGATGCTACTTGCATCCATCCCGAATCACCATCTTGTATGACGCCACATACTCAGGCTTACCGTCAAGATGGAACAACACATGCATATTAAAAGCCATTAACACATAAAGCTCAACAACATTTCATATATCAAAAGCATGTAACACAGCATGCATATAACCATACCCCCATGGGACATGGTGGAACCACAACATGGCTAAACTGAGGACACGAAAGCTTACCTTGCAAGCTAACACCCAAACCCAAGAGTCCACAGCTCAAAGTCTAAACACAGCAGATTCACAATCTGTTATGGACCAACAATACATCAACAATCATACTCTACAAGTATACAACATAAAGACAACTCCTTTTCATTACGTTTTACGTCTTAAGGCTTCTCACCAAGTCATAAGCCCTTAATCACATGATTCTGACTTACATTAATTAATTACAGAAGTTCAACTTCCTCAAACTAGGGTCCACAAACCTATAGATCAGTTCTGGATGAACAGTACGCTACTGTTCCTCGCAAACCCAGAATATCCGGATATGCAATATCCGGATATCACTCTGGCAATATCCGGATATCAATATCCGAATATTCCACGAGCAATATCCGGATATTTCGCGACAGAATGCAGTTTCTGCATTTCACGAAGATATCCTTCCAAGGTTCCATTTTTAACACTTCCAGAAGCTTAAACATGCATCTTAAGGTTCATTTATGTTCATATGACAGTTGGTTACTTGTTTAACCCATTAACATGCCAAGACTTCATCTTTAAGAAACAAAACTCAAGACCAAGGTTAGTACAACTCACCAAGGTTCAAAACAGAGACAAAGGACTTCTCTTGGAGCTCACACAACAGCTCCAAGGTACTGACTTCAAGGGTGCACAAAAATGCTACCAAAGCTTGGCCCTTTCTTCACAAAGAAAGCTTCTTGAAGCTCAAAATGCCACAACAATGGCTCAACAACCTCAACCTCCCAAGCCAGCAACCAAAAGCACTCAAGATAACCCACCAACTCAGAAATGGAGCTCACAACACCCTCACCAAAGTATTTCCCACCCACCCAAGGTGTTTACAAGGAGAAAGTATGAAGAAATCAAAGAAAAGAGGTGGCTTGAAGGTGTTTCATGCAAAGGTGACCAAGGAGAATGGTGGCAGCAGCCAAGCTCTCAAAATGTCACGTAGGAGGCACCAAAACTGACATAGAAATGTGTGCCATGGCCTTATATAGGCTCACTTAAGCCATAAACACACAATATTAGCTTTAATTGCTACGCTTAGCATTTTAATCCCAAACTTTGGATTCTTAACCTACTCAAATTTACAAGAATTATCATATTTTTCTTATAATTTTTGGAGCACATTCCCGGTATGCGCTTTTCATAGCCAGTACAGTTTCTGGCACCAGTTCTCATTATTTTGACTTGAAACTCGTTTTACAAGTCCTACATATTATTCTAGTAATTATCATGCACTTATAAAATTTTCCGGGATACTTTTTCGATACGCATTTATACCGACTAGCAGAACCGGTATCTGCACTTTTCTTCCGAAAAGCGACTTTCAGCATTCTTACTCACTTACTATAATTATTAGAGCCTCATAATAATTATTAGGGTCAATTATGGAATTATTTCATAATTTCACATAATTAATTAATTAACTTCCTTAATTAACGGTGCGGGTTCTTACAGTGCTCATTTGAGCTAAAGAAAAAATATTGGAAGTGTATGTTTGATAAAGTGAGTGTTTGAATGACTCAAGAGTCAAGTCAAGAGTATGTTAAGTTACGAATTATGTGAAAACGAAGAGAGGAACGTCTTGCCTTCCTTGTATGTGGCTTTGGCCATATGAGGTCTAGGTAGGTTAGGATGTTCTAAAAATTGTAATGAGTATTTTAGAGGCATGGTTATGTCATTC